TTGACAGTGAGTTGTTTTATGTGTAGTGCTGGGACGGAGCGTCGTCGTGTAACTGAGCGTGTACGTTGACGTCCAGATGACCACGTTGCCGAGGTCAGCCCAGCACAGAACGATCACAGGGATATACAGCGGCAATACAGTCACAAACCTAGGTGTATAGCATTTGGGGCTAGTAACGTGCTGGAGTTGGAACAACATTTGTGGTCAGGGCCACCGACTGTTTCACTACCAATGTACATTACACAGCACAGGCTATCAGATACGTGTTTGTGATAAGACAGCGACCACAAATGTAGTTCCAATCGGTTACACCAGATATTGCACGTTTCAAGATATATCACATATATGTCATTTCGTGGCTATCTAAAAATATGCGTTGTTTCTGGAACCAACAGAATTCGTTCTTCATAAAACTTGGCGCGCTGACGAGGAGTTGATGACTCGATTCAATGACAATATTTGTTTTCAAATGTAACATGTATAAGATACATTGAGGCGATTATATAAATACATATATATATATATATATGTATATATAATTTTAAGAAAATTCCATAGAAGATACGTTTGGTCCCTATAGGATCGTCTTTAACAAAGAAAAGTTTCTTCCAAATCTCGCCGATGACACATATTTATAAAAATATAAAAGATTCTGCAGACTTTAAGGTATAAAACAGATGTTGAGTTTTCTTCCATGCTCACCACTCGGGCACAACAGCCAAGAACAAGGCTATGCGCCGTTTTCACGAAGAAACAAGCCATTGTCCTAATACTTGAATTCATGCGAGTTTTTATTACAATACATACCTTGTGTATAAACATACATGTGTATATATTAATGATACAGACAGATAGTACAAGGCATATACTTTCCTAAACAGACAGATGCAAGGTCATGTTAATACGACTATTACTTACCATGTTGATACAGCGTCATCGGCAGCGACTTGACGACGGCGTTACGTCACAAGTTGCTGCCCTCGTGATGACGTATCTAATGATCCTTGATTATATTAGGTGTTTAGTAATGCATCTCAAATGATAGTGAATATACAAAACTATAGTGACGGCCATATGTTCATACATAAACGAAGTACACTAGTTAGGACTAGGAGGGAACAATAACAGAAGCAGGTGCGAAGACCGCGTCAAGGTCACAAACATGGCGGTCATACAGTGGTCCACTAGCAGTACGGATAGAGTACAGACAGTTGTCACACAGCCCCTGTGCGGACAAGCGGACACAGAGAACGGACATGGAGGCACACGCGCCGTGTGTAGATTAAAGTGGAAGGGTTTCAGTCACATCTTCTCCCGGGCTTGTTACAGTGTAGATTCAACGGGTGCTTCCGGTTTTATTCTGATGTCGGGCACCTAGATATATTTGAAACATCCTATGAAGGAACCTGGCAGACTGACCGTGTGTTGGTCTGTTAACTACTTAAACGTTCCGCAGATCAAACAAGTCTTACAGTGACGTTTTGTATCTATACAAATCAATTTGAATTTCAAGTAATGTAATGCGATTTCAGTCACAATGAAACAAGGAAGAACATCCATACCGGAAGGAAGCAGTTACAGGTGATTGAAATCATACCTTTTCGTGTTTTTAAATGAATAGGTTTCGTTTAACGTATCATTAATTAAATACTGTTCATTTGTGTTAATTTGGAATTGTTTCGCTGAATATAAGGTTCTCTCAAGCCTGGGAGAAACTGTAGACATACGGCCCTTGACTACATGTATACTGAGTGAATCGGAACCCGTCTTGCGAACTTGTAGCTTGTCATCGTGACCCACTATTTGGCTACCGACAGGCTGCTAGACAGGCTACTGGCAACTAGCTGCATCGTACTGACACCAAAGCTTGCATTGTCACAACATCCCTGGCCTACTGGCCTCAAGCATACCGGGCTGCCACTGTCATTACTAACAAAATAATTAGGTCATTAATTACATGTGCCCATTAGTTCCACTTTACAAAGGTTCTTCAATACAGCCGGCTCACATCCTATCGTCCACGGTTACATAATGATATACTGCCCGCCAACACAGTCCCCGACCATTAGGAACATTTGTACCCAAGGCTTGTTAAACAAGGTGTCCACCAGTATGTTTTAGAGAGCGCTGACGTGTGGATTAAAGGGATTTCACTGTTTGGACAGAACCTGTGGAAAGTCTTGTCACGGCCTCCGTCTCGGAAAGCTAGTAAGGGTCCAACTGCTTACCTCGACTAGAAGACAATAAGAGCCGGCTGTATTTGGAACAGAACAAATTCGCATATGGATAACGTTTGTTCTGGTTGCTAATGGACAGGTGTAATGTGACAGAGTTGATGTAGAAACCTGTGAGGGCGGACGCTAGGATAGAAGTCATTCGATTGTACAAACAATAATATAGCCATTCCTATCCCATGGATTAAACAAGCGATTACAGGCATGCTGCAGTCCTGTAAGCTGTGCAGTCGTCGCTGCGTTGTCCACGAAGTATCCCCACCATGGATTTCCTACAGAATACAAGACACTGCCTCCGACATTTGGTGATGCACAAGTTGTACTGAGAGGCAAGACTAAGGAAGTTCGAAGGACGGTGTTTTTCTGAATCTACTAAATATGCATTAAACAATTTTCTGAATATTGACATTTCGTGTAAATCAAATGGGGTTATCGATGCGTCTCTTGTTCTGGAACATTTTTCTAACTCATATAAACAGGTATGTTCTTTTGTACAAAACCATAGAAAATAGATTTTTAATATCTCCATTTTACTGAAACAATACATACTGCTTAATATTTAATGTATTTTTATATATATATATAAGTATAAACTTTTCCATGAACAATTAACAAAACAATATATATATATATCTACAAAATGAAGACTCAAACTTAACGCATTGTTGATAAAATACATGGTCAATAAGTCATCTCAGTTCAGCCTACAAATCACATAAACAGATAATCACAGGTTCATTCAAAGGGACATAGCTCTTCTACGCCATTCCAGACTGTCCTTGCTACCGGGTTCCAGTCACGTGACCATTACGACCAAGGTTCTTTCTGTACATACCACAGTGAATAATGGCCTGGTTCCAAACCAGCCTTCTCGGGGAACTCTAGTACCAAGTAGGCGTCTCTCAGAGTTCATCGTATGGGGTCCGATGTATTATACGAATATTGCATTTCTACAAACTTGTCGTTGTGGAAGTACAGTGGTAATGTCCAGTGTTGCCGTATAAAACTATAACAAATTACAATGAGACTTCTTTAGTGGGAGCAGTTATAGGAAACACCCTGTGGATCAGGTCGTTGGACTATCTGACATGACACGCTTTGTATAATCACTTTATAAATAGGCTTAACAACACGATACATTCCATCGATGCATTCACACCCTGGCCCGCAGGCTCCATTCATGCGGTCGATCTGGATTCATCACCGCCAGGTCACGTGATCAACACTAGTCGAATACTATCACACGAATCCAGATCAGTTTACGGTTACATGTAACAATGAACTACACGTGGCACAGTGAGCGTTACGTCCGATGCCAGTCCAGTTTGAATATCCTAAGGAAAGTCCGTTTGAACTGGGCATTGGCAAACGCATAGCAGAATGGGTTGATCGGGCTGTTGAGATAACACAGCCAGTATGTAAAACTGTAGAACCTTGCGTTGATACCGTCCCAGCCCGCTATAGCTATCACAAAGGCCATGATATGGTAGGGCGTCCAACACACTACAAATGCGCCTAAGATGAGCGTGATAGTCCGCAGAGCTTTGCGTGCTCTGTTTTCAGATTTGGACTTTCGTTCGCGGCGGTTCCTTCGCCGACTGTTTCGTGAGCGCACAGATTTGACAAATGTTTGTAAACGACCGTCCTTCCTTCTACGTCTTCCTCCAGCAGTCAATCTCTGCATCCCGCGGTCATCGGCACTGTCTTTGTTGTCATAAGGGTGGAGATTGTTACCATCACTTGCCGGCTGTTCAACTGGCTCTTCTTGCTTTTCTCCGAACGTATCTTCTGTTGCCAAGGGAACACGGACATGGATGCTCTCAACCTGGCATGTTTCTGCGCCATTCAGAGAATTCCGCCGACGCCATATTGGTGACGAATTACCTTCGCCATCTTCATTTACGTTTTCGGAAACTTGCGACTCGGATAGAAGCTTAACATTATCCCCAGCCAGGTTGCTGAAGCTCTTTTCATCAATGAAGCGAATGCCTTTGAGGACGTCGTTCTGAATGAGAGGCACAGACGAACGATCCATCTCACTAGCCGACGCCGAAAGCAGGTTGTCGATATCAGTCACCTGCGTGCCTGATTCAAACTCGGATATGAAGTCGCACCTAATGTCCATTCGGGCAGTTGGTGCCAGAAAGTTTGAGTCAGGCATGTGTGCAGGATAAGCACTGTCCGTTTGGGGAGACTTCCTGTTGGTCTTACTTGAGTCAGGTTGCAGCGCGTTGTTGATGAAGCCTTTGTCGGGGATCTTCGGGGGCTTACTGTTGGCAGTGAGTGGCGTCTTGCTAGTTTGAGCTGTTCCCTGACTGGAACTGTTTTCTTCATCTGATGCAAAGGCTGGGCTGCTGGACCTGTCTTCATCTTTCTCGGAGTTATTCCTCTTGACAAAACTAGTTGTAGTGACAGTTCCGGTAGCAGCTGTCTTGTTGTTGGCTACTGTCTGCTTTTTGGCCTTTTTGGTAGCTTGAGGAATGCTGTCACTACTATTGGACGCCGTCGCCTTGGCCGCTGTGTGCTCTATAGCGAGTTCCATGGTTGACTGCAGTTTTTTGTGTTTAGCATCGGATTTTCTTTGCAATGTTAGAGCTACTCTATAAATACCGGCATACAGCACGCACATCACCACCAACGTAATCCAGTAATATCCAATCGTTAACAAGAATGTGAAGAGGGGGTCACTCATGAACTGCACCTCACATTCTGTGGGCTGCACTGTCCTTCCCTCGGGTACGAAATACTGCCATCCAATTACGGCCGTGAAAAATACTACAGTTGGCAAAATCCACGTGACAGCGATCATGACGAGCACTTTCCGTTCTGTGCGCCAGTTGCGGTACTTAGCTGGAACTTTAACTGACAGGAACCTATCCATTGTGATGAGGAACACAGTGTACTGCGACGTGAGGCAGACTGTCCAGTCCAACGAGAGCCACAGGTCACACAACCATGGGCCCAGGGGCCAATAGCCGTCCAACAATAAGTACTGGGTAAACAGGGGCATAGAAAACGTTCCGATAAGTAAATCTGAAACCGCCAGGGACGCAAGGAAATAATTCGTAGGTTGTCGTATACTCCGTTCAATGCCAAATGAAAGCAGCACAACAATATTACCGAATATAGTCACAATGCTGATGGTTCCGGCTAAGAGGCCCAGGATCACAGTCAGCCACATTGGATGGGCAGTATGAGCTTGGTTCGCAGAGTTGGCCAAACTCGTGTTGTCTTGGGACTCGGACATATTTGAAGTATAGTTAAAAAAACACGCTGTCATGTTCATATCAGGTGTAGCAGTTCCACAGACGTTCAGCCCCAGAGATCCGTTCAACAAGAACCCTCCCGGATCCATCATCACACCAGTGTTGTTATCCATTGTGGCAGAAGCAGCACCTGCAGGACTAGCCAGCCGTTACCGTACTGTCATGGCATCTGAAACACAGAGTAATACATGACAGCATGACAATCAACAATCAACACTCAAGTCATGACACATTCAGACGTAAATTACAGTTATTCCACCCTTGTCATTTAATTGACAAACTAACGACTACTTTTCGAAAATATTTTAGGCCACATCCGCTAGCGCTTCCCGCTTGTATTTCGCATCGTTGCCTTGAGATAAAATTAATCCCCAGCATATCGGTGTGTACTGGTTAATTCATATAGATCTCACTATACATTTTTTCGTCTATGGGGGTTGTACATGTTTACCTCCATATACGAAAACACAACATCAAAGTCAGTTTTGTATATTACGGTGCAATGAACTTTTACACAGGAAATATGATGTAAGATTGCTTCACATGAACATACACAGAACTCTACAAACATTCTTCAGTACTTACACGATAGACAACGGCTTCCAACAATATGATACACACGAGCTACCTTTTTGTTTTATATGACGGGAAACGGAGATCTTGTTTACCTTGTTAATTAATCCTACACTCCAACCTATTTCCATATTAGGACGGCACGGTGAAGTGTTTTGCTGACACCAAGACATGACGCTAATATCTGTCTGAACTCTCCACAAAGGTCACCGTGAATCAGCGTCACACGCGTGATCACGTGACAAGATGACCAACCGTCGAAGGTCATTAATGGTTAATGGTACGGAAGGAGCGACTGAAGTCATCCCTATCAGTCTTGTATGAAGAAAGTAAGCGAGTCACTTAGTACCTCCCCGAGGAATGGAGCATAAGAGGTTTCATCGTCTTCAAACCCCCGCCAACCTGGTTGAGGAAACCTCCCGCACAGTACATATGGCAGGACCCTGTCAAACCGCCACTACCGCGTGGCATGTGTCAGTTCCGTGTTCCCTCCACTACACAAGCACCTTCCCGCGAAGGCCAACCTGTACTGTTAATACGGGCTCAGATAAGTCTGTTAATGTAATAACAACGTGTTTCCCACGTTGGAATAATCCAATCAGGACTGGAAAACATTGTCTTGGATGAGCCTGCAGTGTAAGGGGATGACTGTACAGCCACACTGTCAACGTAATGGTGACTTTAAAGGTAAAAGACCTTCAGGACAAAATATAAACATTGTGTTTCCGTAAACACTACTCCACGTGCTTCATTACGACATGTTTGTTTGTTTATGATTTACGGTACGACTAGACAATACACCTTGACTGAATTATATTATTTAACGAGACAGCGTCATGTTTTTGGGATGTTTTCTTATTGAAAACCAAGCTTATCGTAATTATTTTGCTGATGGAATGATCGCTCAGCGAAGCATACTTGATTTGACCTTGCCTTTGGATAGGCATAATATATGACTACTACATACACACACACACACGCACGCACGCACGCACGCACACATACATACATACATACATACATACATACATATATACATACATACATACATACATACATACATACATACATACATACAAAAATATTGCTTTATTTTTAATTAAATACATGGAGGGGAATGGCCAAACAAGTTATATTTCCTGCGTTCAAAATTCGAAGATTCCCTGAAGATCAAGCGATTGATCTGATATTGAGTTACATTATTCCAGTATTAACTGTACCAATTTTTTCATCGGTGTCCAACGTCTGAACATGGGGGGCGTTTTCTAATCAAGACGTTAACCGATTCTTTGTGTATTTTATAACATTATGCTCAGTTTCAATGGTACAGTCGTTTTCGGCCGCGTTACTCCACTAAAGAGGTGGAGATGGGATCCAAACTTCAGACCAATGTTTGACTAATTTATTGCTTGATCCTATCACTGTTGTCGCTTCCCAGCGCCGCAGTCTGTAAACCCACGATAAATCCAGAATGGGAATTTTCCCAGCAGCGCCAAGAGCCACGATACCATCTCTCCTCCCCTCAAATGTCGCCCAAAGAAGCAATAAATAGGGGTAGGTGTTAATTTTCTGACCCGGATCGATGGTGAGCTGGATCTATCTCAGATTAAAGGAATCCTCTGATGAGGTAAACTCATTTCTGGGACAAATTGCAATCAGCCTAAGTGAGCGTCAGAACCCTATCTCACCCCTACAAACCCAGTGAAGACTAACTCGTTCAATTGCTAGCCCCGTCGACCTAACAAGCTTGCAGTGGAATTGTGAAAACGCGCCGAATGAGGTGTTTGTTCCCCTCTTTAGGCATCGGCACCACTTAGTTCCTATATTCAAAGTGCGGACAAGCAATTGCACTTAAAGAGGAATAATTTGCAACCTTATCTTCGCCTACAGCGACAAAGTATCGCTTCTTCATTTGAGAAATCAACGTTCGAAGCAGAATTTCAGAAAAAAAATCGAAAAATGCAATTTTGCAAACAAGCATCAATTGAACACAAACTACGTGAAACGTTTCACTTCGACTTACAGATTGCTGATGAGGGAAGCACCAACCCATCCATATGTAGGCACATAAAATTGTGGTGTTCGGGAACCTGTGTTATATGTAGGGAGTTGGTCCCTATACAAACGGTCTGTGTTATATCAAGGGAGGTTGTCCCTATACAAAAGGTGTGTGTTATATCAAGGGAGTTGGTCCCTATACAAACGGTCTGTGTTATATGTAGGGAGTTGGTCCCTATACAAACGGTGTGTGTTATATGCAAGGGAGTTGGTCCCTATACAAACGGTCTGTGTTATATGTAGGGAGTTGGTCCCTATACAAACGGTTTGTGTTATATGTAGGGAGTTGGTCCCTATACAAGCGGTCTGTGTTATATCAAGGGAGTTGGTCCCTATACAAACGGTCTGTGTTATATGTAGGGAGTTGGTCCCTATACAAACGGTCCGTGTTATATCAAGGAGTTGGTCCCTATACAAACGGTCTGTGTTATATGTAGGTCTGTGGTTGTATAGTTGGTCCCTATACAAACGGTCTGTGTTATATCAAGGGAGTTGGTCCCTATACAAACGGTCTGTGTTATATGTAGGGAGTTTGTCCCTATACAAACGGTCTGTGTTATATGTAGGGAGTTGGTCCCTATACAAACGGTGTGTGTTATATCAAGGGAGTTGGTCCCTATACAAACGGTCTGTGTTATATGTAGGGAGTTGGTCCCTATACAAACGGTCTGTGTTATATGTAGGGAGTTGGTCCCTATACAAACGGTCTGTGTTATATGTAGGGAGTTGGTCCCTACACAAACGGTCTGTGTTATATGTAGGGAGTTGGTCCCTATACAAACGGTGTGTGTTATATCAAGTGAGTTGGTCCCTATACAAACGGTCTGTGTTGTATGTAGGGAGTTGGTCCCTATACAAACGGTGTGTGTTATATCAAGGGAGTTGGTCCCTATACAAACGGTCTGTGTTGTATGTAGGGAGTTTGTCCCTATACAAACGGTATGTGTTGTATGTAGGGATTTGGTCCCTATACAAACGGTCTGTGTTATATCAAGTGAGTTGGTCCCTATACAAACGGTATGTGTTGTATGTAGGGAGTTTGTCCCTACACAAACGGTCTGTGTTGTATGTAGGGAGTTTGTCCCTACACAAACGGTCTGTGTTGTATGTAGGGATTTGGTCCCTATACAAACGGTCTGTGTTATATCAAGTGAGTTGGTCCCTATACAAACGGTCTGTGTTATATGTAGGGAGTTGGTCCCTATACAAACGGTCTGTGTTATATCAAGTGGGTTGGTCCCTATACAAACGGTCTGTGTTGTATGTAGGGAGTTGGTCCCTATACAAACGGTCTGTGTTATATCAAGGGAGGTTGTCCCTATACAAACGGTCTGTGTTATATGTAGGGAGTTGGTCCCTATACAAACGGTTTGTGTTATATGTAGGGAGTTGGTCCCTATACAAACGGTCTGTGTTATATGTAGGGAGTTGGTCCCTATACAAACGGTCTGTGTTATATGTAGGGAGTTCGCCCCTATACAAACGGTCTGTGTTATATGTAGGGAGTTGGTCCCTATACAAAAGGTCTGTGTTATATGTAAGGAGTTGGTCCCTATACAAACGGTCTGTGTTATATGTAGGGAGTTGGTCCCTATACAAAAGGTCTGTGTTATATGTAAGGAGTTGGTCCCTATACAAACGGTCTGTGTTATATGTAGGGAGTTGGTCCGAATACAAACGGTCTGTGTTATATCAAGGGAGTTTGTCCCTATACAAACGGTCTGTGTTATATGTAGGGAGTTGGTCCCTATACAAACGGTCTGTGTTATATCAAGGGAGTTTGTCCCTATGCAAACGGTCTGTGTTATGTGTAGGCTGTTTGTCCCTGTACAAACGGTCTGTGTTATGTGTAGGCTGTTTGTCCCTATACAAGTGGTCTGTGTTATGTATAGGCCGTTTGTCCCTATACAAACGGTCTGTGTTATATGTAGGGAGTTGGTCCCTATACAAACGGTCTGTGTTATATGTAGGGAGTTGGTCCCTATACAAACGGTGTGTGTTATATCAAGTGAGTTGGTCCCTATACAAACGGTCTGTGTTGTATATAGGGAGTTGGTCCCTATACAAACGGTCTGTGTTATATCAAGGGAGGTTGTCCCTATACAAACGGTCTGTGTTATATGTAGGGAGTTGGTCCCTATACAAACGGTTTGTGTTATATGTAGGGAGTTGGTCCCTATACAAACGGTATGTGTTATATGTAGGGAGTTGGTCCCTATACAAACGGTCTGTGTTATATGTAGGGAGTTGGTCCCTATACAAACGGTCTGTGTTATATGTAGGAGTTGGTCCTATACAAAAGGTCTGTGTTTATATGTAAGGAGTTGGTCCCTATACAAACGGTCTGTGTTATATGTAGGGAGTTGGTCCCTATACAAACGGTCTGTGTTATGTGTGTTATATCAGTTGGTCCCTATACAAACGGTCTGTGTTATATGTAGGGAGTTGGTCCGAATACAAACGGTCTGTGTTATATCAAGGGAGTTTGTCCCTAAACAAACGGTCTGTGTTATATGTAGGGAGTTGGTCCCTATACAA